AAGAGAAAGAGAAAGAGAAAGAGAAAGAGAAAGAGAAAGAGAAAGAGAAAGAGAAAGAGAAAGAGAAAAGGAGAGAGAAAAGGAAAGGGAAAGGGAAAGGGAAAGGGAAAGGGAAAGGGAAAGGGAAAGGGAAAGGACAAGAAAAGACGACGAGAAAAGATGACAAGACAACAAGAGAAGATGACAAGAAAAGACAAGACAAGGGAAGGAGAGCAGCGCAGCACCCAAGCCACTAGCCTCGTTACCTCCTTGCCTGCTCCTGCCTGGGAACTGGCCAGCTCCTTGCTCCCAGGCTCTGGGTCCCCACCAAAGCTCTGGACCTCCCTGGAGCTGGAACTGAGTAGCCAGGAGCAGTTTGATCCATGGGGAGGTTTTGAGTCCCAGAAGTCCTATAAATGCTGCTGATTTGGGGGTGCAAAGCACATCTTGAGTGTGAGCTCAGCCCCATGATGACTGTGGGGAGGGGTCCTGCCAGCCCTCTCTGTGCACAGAGCAGCTCTGGGCTTCCTTCCCATACTCCCCCAAAATGACAGTTTGCTCTATATCACCAGATCTGGGAGGCAGGTGGGTTTGTTTTGTTTTGGTTTGGTTTGTTTTTTTAAATAGCATTTTCAGTGGAAACAGGAGCCTCCCTGTCTTTCCCCAGCCAGGCGCAGAGCTGCTGCCCCCTCCACGCTGGCAGGGCTGTGGTCACCTGGGTACAGACACCAGTGCTAAAGGACACAAGACTCTGAGATGAAGATGGGCAGAGGTGGGATGGGATCCAAACTGATGGGGCTGCAATGAGCCAGCCTGATGGATCCCCACTGCACAGGGGATGGTGTTGTGGGGCACCCAACCCCATGCAGGATGAGAAGGGCAGGACCCATGCCAGGACCAGCTGTGAGCACTGGCATGGGCAGGAGGGCTCCTCAACCCAAGCACCCCCACAGTTGACAGGGTGGCATCTGCAGTGTTTGCACCCTCCCTCACTCCCAAAATAATCCCTGTGCATGCAGGACAGTCGACTGGTCTGTGCTGGCTTTGACCTACATGTATATTTTACCTAATGTTAACTGAAATGGCAAAGTAAAGAGTTGCATGGAAGGGATAAACACAAAGTTGGTCAAAGTGTTTCTGAACACATGGAGGGTTGGGCCAGAAAAAAAACAGCACTGAAAACCACAAGTGTCTGGTTTCCTCAAATCACTATTTTTCTGGTTAAAAACAAAAAAGGAAGAAAATTATATTTTGGCAGCAGGTTTTCCAGGTCCTGGGGAGAAGCCTGGCTGTCCCTGTGGTTGGGGGACGAGATCAGCCCTGGGGTGTCACAACCAGGTCTGAGCCCTCTACTCTGGCTTCCCCAAAATGCTTCACACAGGGCAGAGATGCCCCTGCCCTAGCCTCTCTCTCCCAGAGGGGAGCTGCCTCCACCCCCAGCACCAGTCCAGTGTGGCTGTCCCCAGTGTCCCACCTGCCACCCCATCCCCACTCGGTGCTGGAGCACAGACCCACCCTGCCCCAGGCGGAGCCACCCCCAGTCCCAGCCCTGTGCCACCAGTTGATGTCCCCTCCCCAAGCACCCCCAGAAAAGGGATGTGTCATCCTGTCCCCCACACCCTGAAGAAGATGCTGCTGTGCCAGGACTGTTCAGAGAAGGAGTTCTGGGCTGGGGGGTGCCTGCTCCGGAGATGTCCCTGAACCCCGGGAACAGCCACTGTGGGCAAGGTGATCTCTGCAGCTGGACATCCTATCTCCAGGCTAGTAATAGTCCTCCTCGCTCTCCACGTAGTCCTCAGGTGTTGTACGGGGCTTTGGCAGGGAAAAGCCCGTCAAGTTGAGCTGATCTGAAACAGCAGTGTGTGGTCAATGTGACATTGCCCACCCCACTGCCTGTCCCCTTCCCCCCCAGGACCAAAGCCAAACCATGCACAGCAGCTCCCACCATATCAGTCTACCCTGCCCAAACCCCTTTGTCTCTGTGAGACCGTGGAGACAAGGACGTGGTGCTCACCCGGTGTGAAGACAGTCAGGCTGGCTAATGCCACCACCTCCCCAACACTGTTCCTGGCAAAGCAGCGATAGGTGCCTTCGTCTGTCACCCGCACACCCTGGATCTGGAGCCAGCCCGTCACTTCGTATTTCTGGGGGCCACCTCTGAACTGCAAGAGAGGGGGATTTCGGTTTGTACTGGGGCCAGGAAAGCTCCGCATGAGGCTGGGATGGGTGGAAAGGGGGATACAATCCCAGAGAAACTCTTTGACCCCCACTAAGTACCACTCTGGGGAAGAGGCAGATCCCCTGGATGCAGGTCCCCCCTTTACCCAGAGGAGGTGGGGGGAATGGACAACTTCTTGTCCCCACAAGAATCTTGGAGTCCTGTTTTGGGCAGGACCCCCGAGATGTGCCCTGGACTCCCAGCTGTGTCCCCACTGTCACCATGCTCCCCAAACAGTGGGAGGATGCTGGGGTCAGTGCTCTGAGGGGTGACAGAAGCAAGGAGGCATCTGTGCCATGGGCACAGCTAGCCTGGCATGGCTCAGAGGAGATCTCAGTCCCCTGTTTTGGCAGGCAGCGAGGTCCCAGGATTGCTCTTGCACCAACCATGTTATTTTCTGTTTGTCCCCAGCAAGAAATAACCTTTTCCTGACCCATCTGGGCTGCAGCTGTGTTTGCAGGCTGCTATTATGGTGCAGTGGCCAGGGGTGGAGAACAGCTGAGTCTCCTCCAGCCAGGCAGGGTAGCCCTGCTCAGGGTGAAGGTCCTCAGCTGGACCCTGTGACAGGCTATGGGGTGTCATGAAGTCCAGAAAGATAGAGGGGGATCAGCACAACACTGGGTCCCAACTGCTCCCCTGGCTCCCCCCATTCATCCAACCACATGTCTGGCTGTGGTGCACAGCCCCTATGCCTCTGCCCACACCATCTAATAGCTGAGTATGCCTGGCTGGGCACTATATATGGGGCCAACAGCAGGCAGGATGCTGACCCCTGGGCCTGCTTGCTCTGGGAGGAAAACCCTGCTTGGAGTGGCAGGCAGAAAAGGGCAGGGACTGCCCGAGTCTGCTGGTGGGAGCAGAGGATAACCCTGGCTGGAAGGTGCTTCAGGAGGTCCTTTCCTCCAGCCCTGCTGGTGGGGCTGCAAGTGAAGACAGCAGGCAGAACAAACTCAAGGCAGGGAGGTGGAAAACTCCGTGATGCAGGACTCTGCAGGTCCTAAAAAATATTAATCAGTTCAAATACTACTAGAGAAAATTGCAGAAGAGAGCTATGCTGGTGGCTCCTACCGCTGAGACAGCAGCCCTGGCTCAGCCAGTCCTCATGGTGTGCAGGCTCCAGTCACCCCTTCTCATCCCCAGGCAGCCAGGCTTGGCCATCCCCAGAGGTTGCCCACAAGCTCTGGGAAGGACTGGGTCACCCCAGGGCCATGTCCAATGACCTAGGCACGCTTACCTGGACAGAGATATGGGGGTCATCTCCAGGCAGCAGCATCTCCATACCATCCTTCCTCCACTCAATAGATGCCATGGGGTAGGCGAAGACTTCACAACCGAAGACGACATCCTGCCCAGTGATGTTCCATGTGTCATAGGGAGGAGAGGTGATCTGGGGCTCTGGGGAGGGGGGACAGGAGAGCAGGGTGGGCTCAGAAAAGGTCCCATGGGCTCTCTTGGGCTGGTCCCCTCTGGGGTGGCAGCATTTGGCTCGCATATTGATGCTAGGACCCTTCCCATGCCCCTCTCCTCTCTCACCCTTGGCAGATCCTCCCCTTGCCCCAGGACATGGTCCCTCCTCACAGCTGGGACTGGGGACTCCCTCCTCAGCCCCCCTGGCCCATGGGGGGATTACCATCCCTCCTGGCCTCACTTTCCGCACCTGCACAGTGATGCTCAGAGACACAGGGGCAGCAGGAACAGTTTGATAACAGCAACGCTACAAAGCGAAGCTCTCCTGAGCAATTGGATCACACTCCTCCTGCAGGCGAGAGGCTGAGGGGCACTCATCCAGCCCAAGGCTGGTGGGGATGCATGAAGTGGATGAACTTCCAGGCAAATGAGGCCTCTTTTCTGGCACAGGCCTCATGCCAGCAATTAAGGGAGCAAGCAAGTCCCTGGATGTTGTATGGAGCCAATACTTCCAGGTCCCACATCCCTTCCCTGGAGGGATGGAATGAGGACTACTCTTCCTACCCACACCTGCTCCAGGAGCTGGCCCATAGCATGAGCCAGAAGTCAAGGAAAGGCCTTCATCTCCCAATATACCTGGGGGAAAAAACTCGAGGGCATGATGATCTGCAGAAAATAAAGTCAACCTTGATGCCCCTTGTGCTGTGGCGACAGCACTGGGTGACCTGTGCCAGACTGGGTCATGGCCTCCCCACCACTGCCTGTCCCCTCAGCTGGGTTTTAAATGAGTAATGAAAATCATGCAGCCAAGTCAAACCGACCCAGGTTTCCATTTGCAGGAGGCAGCCACATTTCTCAGGAGCGATGGGCCAGCATGAACCCAGCACTGCTGCCAAGAATTCACTAACAATTCCCTGGAACTTCCCCATCTGCTCCAGCAGGATTTGCTGCTTCCCATAAACCCTGCTCCCACTTGGCAAAGCTGCTCCCAAACCTATCCAGGCACTGGATCTTCAGGGGCTGCCCTGGAGCAGCCGGGTGGGGGGACGAGGGGGGACCTGCCACTATATGACGCCCCTGTGGACACTGTGGGTTTGCTGCCAGGTGAAATAATTAAGCCAGACCCCCTTGCTTGTCCATTCCTGAGAGGTATGAGCCTCCATCCTGGGCACTACCTGACTCGCAGGGACCCTCATGGGCCATGGTGAGGTTGGCATCAGGGCGGGCACGGGCAGCCTCCAGGAACCTGCAGATCTGGGTGTAGGTTTTGCCATCAGAGCCACAGAGGGCCAGGCGGGAGAGGCAGACGCACTGGGGCTCAGGCACCTCTCCATGCCGCAGGTCGCCAGCATCCAGCCGGCACTCCAGGTGCTCCCCACACTTGCCATAGAAGTGGTTGGTGTTGTCCAGGTCACAGATCTGTCCCTCCAGGTTGGCACACTCCCAGCAGCAGTCGCAAGCATCCCGCACCGTGCCAGCCAGGCACCCACGTGGTGTCGGGCACTCCTCCGGCCGGCACTCGGTGCAGCCCTCCCCTTCCTCCAGCAGCCGCTGCCAGCCCCGCTGGAGGTAGTCGGAGGTGCTGGGAAAAGCCTGGCCCAGCTGGAACGAAGCCCAGTGCAAGGAGAGCAAGGAAAGCACGAGGCAAGAGGAGCTCACAGTCTTGACTTCAGACATCCTCACAGCAGCTCCTCTATCCCAGTCCCACCATCACCTGGACAGGAGTCTCCGGCACTGCTCTGGCCTCCCTGGCTAGATAAGAGTAGCCATCCTGGCCTGCAAGGAGGGAGGATATATGTGCAGGGAGTGTCCCCCACTCCTCTGGCTCCCTGCTGGTTTGCTGTGAGCCACAGGTAGGTCCCAACCCCTCTCACCCCCAGCCCCATAGCCACCTCCTTTTCATCCTGGGGCTCCCCAACCAGCTCCTGCCCTGAGATGTTGAGTATCCTCCAGTGGGATGGGTCTGCTGACCCCAGACCCATCAGGTTTCATCCTTCTTCCCCAGCAGCCCGATGGGAAGAGACCAGCTTGCTCTGACCCACCATGGCCTGGAGAACTACAGGGCTGGCGGGGGGCCCGACAGGCTGCTCTACACTGTCATGGCTCACAGTTTGTACCCTGATCTTCGACTCCTCTCAGGAAGCTGTTCTCAAGCCAGGTGCCCCTTTCCTTTCCCCATTGCTTTGCAAGAGTCATGAGGCCTTTTTTCCTTCCTCATCACCCAGACAAGCACAGTGGCGTGGCTGATCCTGCAGACAAGGGGTTCTTTCCGTACTGGAGGCAGCCAGCCAAGAGGAGCCAAGCCAGGAGGATGCTCCCAGTCACGCCTGGCTTTTGTCCTCCTCCCCTCCCTGCACCAATAACCCCTCTTTTTAGGCTCCACCCACCTGAGCAGGGGAAGAATCACCCCCACACCCCCACACACCCCCAAGAAAGCTCTGTGACCCCCTAAGTTATCACACAGGCAACTGAGACTGAGCACGGGGGAGGTCAGAAGCACAAGGGGGAAGTCAGTGGACTGGCAGCAGGTCAGCCTGTGCAGCGCAGCAGGGTCCTTGTCCCCAAACCACAAGCCTGCATTACCCCCCAACCCTGGGGAGTGATCTGCCCTGGGCTTCCCATCTCTGCTGGGGGACATGTGTGGTCTCAGAGACTGTTTCCAGAGGGGGTGATGATGAATTGAACCCCTTTGTGAACACTCCCCAGCTCCCGGTTACATCCTGGCTGCCTTCCCTGAGATGGAGTGAAATTACGGTCCCTGCCCCAGGGCCACCCAGCACGAGTGAGCGTGGCTGGGGAGGGGACCCAGGCAGCCAGCTGCCCTCTCCTCTCCTGTTGGGAACAGCACTGAAGGGCAGGCTGCAGCCTCCCAGCTGCACCCCGCAGACTCCCCCCCCACCCCTCCAGGGCTAATGCAGCCCAAAGCTGAGGTGGGGTGATGGGCATGGCCAGAACGGTGGGTTACACACACATGCACCCCCCACCCCCTCTCGATAACAAACTGAGAAGCTTTGCCCCGTTTGCTGGAGACCACTGAGCCCCCCAGGGGTGGCAAGGGGGAGGGTGTCCCGGTGCTGGAGCCCCGCGCCCCCAGCCCTCCTTACCCTGGACTGTACCGACCAAGGCTCCAGCCCCTGATGGATGTGGGGTGCCAGGGAAGGGGGAGATAACTGCAAAGTTCGTCTCTGGCTCCCCAGGTCCGGGCTGCAGGCGCTGGGGGTCCCGACTGAATCCTAGGAAGGGGCAGAGTGTCCCCTGGGGCCCCCCCGGGAGCCACCC